TGACCACTTCTAAAAGGTGAATTTCTCTTGCCTCAGAATATATGCAAGAATATTAAAGCTAAACACTGTCCCAGCCATAGTAGTTCTTAGCTTCTTAGCCAAGCCAAGGGGTGGCTTTTATTCTCTTGGAGAGCCTCTTCCTACTCCCTGCCTTGATTAGGACCAGTGAGAAGAAAAAAATTCTTATCACCATGTAGATATAGCAATTCCATAAGTTATTCTATTAGGATCCTTTTCTAGAATGGGTTATCGCCAACAATATTTTTAAAAAGATCTAGTAATTTTAATGAGTTAAATGTTTCTGAGGAGTCAATATTTTCACTGGAAGGGAACTTGGAAGTAAATTCATACCTTTTACCTGCTGCTAATTTAATTGTACAGATGGGACTAGAATGTAGGCTTTCCGACCATAGGCTAGTGCTCTTTAAGCCACTTTGATGTTGGGGTGAAGTTAATAATTTTGTAATCATTGATAATAATTAAAGTTAGTTTTCTGAAACATGTTTAGTTAAAGATACGATACACATTTTTTCAATTTGCCCTTTGGAAATAGACTGTAATAAATGGAGTGAGTTGTGGGTAGAACACCAGCAATTTGAACTCAAAAGACTTAGGATTTTATTTAGACTCAGAAGATACCTATTTGCCTGTAATCTTTCTGGGAAACTGAAAACATTCTTTGAGATGGTTGACTTTATGGACAGGTGCTGTGACTCATGCCTGTAATCCTAGCATCTGGGAGGCCAAGGCAGAAGGATCCCTTGAGCTCAGGAGTTCCAGACCATCTTGAGCAAGAGCAAGACCCCATCTCTACTAAAAATAGAAAAAATTAGCTAAGTGCTATGGCAGGTGCCTGTAGTTTTAGCTACTCAGGAGATCAAGGAAGAAGGATCACTTAAGCCCAGGACTTTGAGGTTGCAATAAGCTATGACAATGCCACTGTACTCTCCCTGGGGCAACACAGTGAGACCATCTCAAACAACAACAACAACAAAAAGGTAGTTGACTTCAACCAGTCTATTTTGAAGAATACTAAAAAAATCTATCTCAGGCACTTACGTGATTAAGGCCTAATTTTCTCACATTTTTATGAAATATCACACGTTCCTGATTCTGTTCTGTGAATTGTAAAAGGTCCTATTTCATTCATAATAGCTTGTTAAAGAAAAACACACCCCAGATTCAACAGATGTTTTCATTGTGAGATGTGTCATGATTTCAGAAATGTCTGTGGAAAGTGTGTTTTAGATAAATATATTTTAGTGTTATGTTTGTAACTCTATTCAAGCATTCAGCATTTTCATTTATGAAGATTCTGCATACTTTATTGTATCATTAGAGAGCTCCCTTTAGTTGAATTATTACAAGACATACCTGTTAGAATTTAGGTTTGATAATCTTTAATGTATTATATGTATATGCCAGTTCATCATTAGTGAAGAAATAATCCTTCCTAAAGCAGTTGATGTTGTAACCCAAGTCTTCTCTTTACTTGAACTGACATCAATGATGGAAGAAATTATTGTGTTAGTTTATGGTTTGGATGAACCATAAAAAGTAGAATTCTTCTCATGCATTGAGGTTGTTTTTGCCTTTGGATTTAATAACTGTGCTTTATTTTATATTTAAATTGAACTAATCCCCAAATAATTAATACAGATAGTCATTGGCTTATCTTGGCTGAACGCACCATAATCAGCTCATCTTATATAGAGTTTTGAATGTAATATTTTTATAGACTTTATAGATTAACAAGACAGAACATACTTACCGCTATAAGATCATTAGGTGACAGGGCCTAGAGTAAAGGAAACAATCAAATAATCAAGGAGCTGTAATTCAGAATTTTGTCATATATTTTATGTTAGCTTGGTAGATGAAAGCATGCCTGAGAATTGTTAGCATTTCTAAAATTCATTTATTAAGATTAATATTCACTAATATTTTAAGCACCCCCCGTCCTTCAAACCTAACCATCTCTGAAAACACATAGTCCAGTTTCCCTGGACACTAAACATAGGGATTTTTTTTTTTGGGCCGGGTCTTCCCTTTTTCCCCTGGGTAGAGTGCCATGGCATCACAGCTCACAGCAACCTCCAACTCCTGGGCTCAAGCGAGTCTCCTGCCTCAGCCTCCCAAGTAGTTGGGACTACAGGCGTCCACCACAACGCCCGGCTATTTTTTTTTTGGTTGCAGCCTTCATTGTTGTTTGGCGGGCCTGGGCTGGATTCGAACCTGCCAACTTAGGTGTGTGTGGCTGGCGCCTTAGCCACTTGAGCCACAGGTGCCAAGCCAAAATAGGGATTTTTTGAACGATCATTAAATCTATGCTTACAGAGTTGGAAAAAATACTTATTTGGTATCACTTTATGAAAGAAAAATTTATGAATAATGTTATTTCCTACAATTATAAAAGTATTATTAAAAGTTTAGAATTAATATGCTATAATTTGTAAGTTTTTGTAGTATTTTAATGAATCAATCTTATATGTAATTAACACTCATTCAGTAAAATATTTTCAAAAGAAAAATTTCAGCAATTCTTTTACACCATAACTGTAACCTTAAATCTAGTTCAAAAACTTATAGGACACATTTACATTTTTATTAGAATGCACTTTACCTCCATTAATGACAACTTTAAGCATAAAATTTTAGAGGCAAAATGGACATTGTAAATCATCTGTTTTTCACTATGTTCTAGAACAGTGGTTCTCAACCTTCCTAATGCTGCAACCCCTGTGGGTCGCGACCCACAGGTTGAGAACTGCTGTCCTAGAAGAAGCTGGGGGTTAAAGGGTTAAGATTATTCTAAAATATTAAAAGTCAGACCTGGAGCTTATATCTCCAGATCAATTGATTTCAAAGTAAATACTTCTTCTTACCGGCCCATCCACACAATTATGGAAAGGTTCAAGTCTTAGGTAGTCCAGTTTTCAAGGACAAAATAATGGTCCCCCAAAGAGAATGCTAACCATTAATTCTTAGTATCAAATTCCTGTCTAATTAAATCTAAAGCGTTTTCAAGGTTTTGTATTCATTTAAGTACTTTCTTAAAGGAAGCTTTAAATATAATTACCTGATTTGGATTGTAAGGAAAGGGAAAAGGAATTGGAATCTACAAAAAAGGGGAGAAAAAGTGAATTGTGAATGAAATAAACTGATAGTTTTCTTTTGGCTTTTTCCTCATGTATGCACACACCTATCCTTCCATCTGTCTCTCCATCCATCCCTGCAGTACTTTTTTAGCAATTACATGTCTAGGTCTAGGGCATTGTTCTTAGGGAGCTCACTTTCTAGTTGGTCAAGGTTAGAGTTCAGTGGATTCTGTAGACCTTTTTGTTTCAAGAGGTATGGTTATTTTGCTTAATTGGTTAAAGTTCAGGAATCCGTCTTATGTATCAGTGTTGATATTCTTGCAAATCCACTAGTTTCTCTACAGTAATAGTTTTCTTTGCTTGTTTTAAAAATACTATTCTGCCATCTGGTGGTAGGAAGAGTTTCTATTTCAAATACTAGTAATTTTTTTACTTGCCACAGATTTACATTAAAATGAAGTATAAGATGTTAACATGGACTCCTAAATTCTAATTATAAGCTAAGACTCTAGGGTTTTGCATCAATTTAAAATAAGTAAACTTAATTTCAGCAAAAAGTAGGGAAACAATGCACCTAGCTTTGATGAGAACCAAAATAAATTGCAGTTAATTATGAAAGCAAGTATTTAGAAACTTAGTGGCTACGATTCAATTAGAACACGTGGAAACATTGAAGGGGAAGAAATACTCCATTGAGACTGTGACTTTAGTGGCAAATTTCCACGAGCCTACTTAGAGTGGGGAGAAACACAGTTTGAAAGTAAATACAAGTAAGGGGAAGGTGCTTATTACATTTAGATATGAAAACAAAATATGCCAAATCATGATTGTATTTTTAAAATATTTAGGGATAGGGATTCAGATAAGATATTAAGCAAAATGCTATTTAAAAAATGTATGTGAACTTCCCATCCATCTATCCATCCATCATTGCTAGAGAAAAATCATTGCTTAAATACTGTTCAAATTGTATTACACAGTTGTATTAATTGTACAATCTTTATTGTATTCTTCTCCCAAATTACAGCACACTTGCTGTTCCTTTGCCTGAAAGGCCCCATCTAATCCTCATCTTTTTTTTTTTTTTCTTGGCTGGGGCTGGGTTTGAACCTGCCACCTCCGGCATATGGGGCTGGTGCCCTACCCTTTTGAGCCACAGGCACCTCCCATCCTCATCTTTTAAGATCTGGCTGATATACTGCCTTCTGTGTGAGGTCTTTGATCCTAGCCTTGAATTTGTGTCTAGAAGCACTTAACAAATTACGTTGTATTTTTCATTTCTTCCTATCAGATCGTAAACTTACTTCATACTTTTGTGTATTTCCAGCACTCACCGTTGACTCTCAGTAAATATTAACCAAATGAATCCTATCTGTATTTACTCTATTTAGCATTGCTTCTACTTTTATTGAAAGAATGTTATAACAATTCAGATGTTAGGAGAGATTGGCGAGATTGTCCAAGAAGAAGAGCAAAATAATTGTATTGCTTGACCTTTGGCAAAAAGTTATAGAAAGCCAGAGGGGGAAAAGGAGAAAGAAAAGCATCAGGGTGAATGAGTGAGAGCAGAAGAATGGCTGTCATAGGAAAAAGTTAGTATTCTCTTTACAAAGAGCAAGGAGGCTCATCCTAGTCCAAGTAATTCAGCATAAAGACCTTTGTAATGGTAAGCAGAGAGAGACCACTGGAAGAGGGCGCTGAAGACTTGGGGGGAGATTCACTCACTAAATCTGACCCCTTGTCCCCCTCCACCACAAGCTATGCAAGGAGAGGAGTTTGGATAGCTGATTTCCTGGTGATCTCTCCACACCTTTATTTCTGTCTCAACATTTGGAAAATTTCATCACTGTCATCCCGACTAGTAAATACTTTTTGCAATTTTAGATTCCCCAGACTCAATGCTTACCAGAGGCAGTTGTGGAGGTGGGGGAAATGGGACCTGAGGGAAAAATGGCGGTACTTGTGGTGGGTAAAAGCTAAATATCTAAAAAAGAAACAGGTGTCGGTCATTTCAGACAATGGCAAACTTCTAAAATGATGAACACATCATTTGAAAGTAGAACTAGAGATTTACCTGTTCACTTGAACTTCCTCCAAATTGCTCAAGCTTGTAAACAAATAACAACAATAAGGTAAAACAGCATATGGAAAAATATTATCCATTACAAAGAGACTTGGTTCTAAATGAGAATGCATAATTAGCCACTATGGAGCATTGTACTGTTATAATAATAGCTTCATGTCTGAAATAAAAAGCAGTTGAGCAGCTAACAGGGAAACGTTGAATTAGTTTTGTACAACTATGTAGTGCACTGAGTACTTTTGTCCTTTAAACCTGAATCCAAAGAATGTTTTCATTTACATTTCTTAATTTTGATTACACATTACATGCATATCTTTTCTTTAATCTTTGAATGAACAGTTTTCTTGATACAGTTCTCAGCACTTACAAATGCAAAGTGAAGAGAACAGAAAAGTGTAAATTTAAATATTGCCCTCCAAATGTAAATTTTGAGAATTCCTCACTCCTTTGAAAACTCCTTTGTTACAAAATATGCAGAGAGAGTATTTCTTGCCTACTCGGTCGGTGCCCTCCTATTCAGACTAATAAACACAAACCAGGTACGGAGTTCACGTTTGTATAGACGGGAAGGCATGACTATGGTCAACTGATGGCAAAAGATCGATAGGGGTGAATCAAATGGTGTTCTAGGATTACTGTATTTCGTTTTATTTTAAGATGCCATCATTAGACAGGGGACAGTGGCTCACGCCTGTAATCCTAGCACTCTGGGAGGCTGAGGCAGGTGGATTGCTGAGTTCAGGAGTTCAAGACCAGCCTGAGCAAAAGCAAGACCCTGTCTCTACTAAAGATAGAAAATCTAGCGGGGGACATAGTGGGGGATGCCTGTAGTCCCAGCTACTTAGGAGGCTGAGGCAAGAGGATTGCCTGAGCTCAAGAGTTTGAGGTTGCTCTGAGTTATGACACTGTGGCACTCTATCCAGGGTGACAGTAAGATACTATCTCAAAAAAAAAAAAAAAAAAGAAAGATGCCATCCTTGTCAACAGCACCATTATTTCATGTCACCAAAAAAAAAAAAGCACTGCTGTTAAGCTGCCACTATATTTCATTGCATCATGTTTATAAGATACAGCTCAATTTCAGAGATGGAGGCGATTATATATATATGATGTACATCTTAAAATGAATGAAATATGTGTACTGTAACATTTCCAGAAGCATTAGAGTCTTAAAGAAACAGACAATACAAATTGTTTAGAACTTAAGATGGCCACACCTGTCAACTTTGGGAAAAAAGATAGTGGTCTTGGGTGGTGCGTGTGGCTCAAAGGAGTGGGGTGCTGGCCCCATACGCTGGAGGTGGTGGGTTCAAACCCAGCCCCGGCCAAAAACGGAAAAAACCCCCAAAAAATAGTGGTCTAAAGAGACAGATTTGTTATCCAAGAACACTATATATGAATGTAGCTTTTAATACAAATCTACTTTTTAAATATTATACTTTTAAAGATTCATCTGTGTGTAATCCTTTTAGGATTTATCTGTATGCTGTCTATATTCAAGTATAATTCAGTCATAAGTGTTGTTTTTTCATTAATAATTTAGTAATTAACGTAGATCATCTTGAATATTTCTTTCAGCAAAATCAAATCTATAATAAAGTAGATATCCTCCAGTGTGTCAGAGCATTTCCAAAGAACAGACAGAAGAGCTTCTTAAAAGAATACATGAGATGGCTTGGGGTAAGGGGGTTACAAATGAGACTTCCATTCATGTTGCTAAATTTATACCTGCATCACTGCCAAATATTTGTTCTGTACTGAGGAGTTATTGAGAGTATCCTATGTTTCAGTTGGGACCTTTAAGTACTTTGGATACATTTTTTTTAGTCATCTCCATGCAGCAATATGGTTGTTCTTATAACTCATTTTGTACAGGGTGTCCCAAAGGTCGCCCATAAACTTGCCATACATAGGGAAAATGGGAAGTTGTACTTAAATGTCTCTTTATTTACAAAGCATTCATTATGAAATTTTACAAAGAGGTGGCCAATATGTAGAGAATATTTCGTAAATATTTTGTAAAGTGTTGTAGACAGGGAAACCCTGGATTAGTTCCTTGCTCAAGGTCACACAGCTTGCAAAAGGCACGGGGAGCTGGGCTTGGACTGCAGCAGAGCCTTGGACTGACAAAGAGCAGTGAGCTCCTGGTTCCATGTCCATTTCTGTTTGTGAAATGAAGAGATATAGGAAATGTTTTCTAGCTCAGAAATACAATAAATCTGCCCTTGAGTTGACAAGAGTACTCACGGGGATGGGCAGAGAAGTGGCGGTGCTCAAAAGGCCAGCCACGATGAGAAATTTCATCCTGAAGGTCGGGCCTGGAATCGAAGGGTTAGGTGATCATTTGTTGTTCCTCCCACCCACATGCAAGTCCTATTCTTATTGTAAATAGATTGTTTAGTTAGAAGTGTTCAAATAGTAGTCAGGCTAACTCCTGCCTCCATTTCAGGTTTTGTTTAAGTCTAGAAGAGTTTGAAAACTTGAGACACTGTTTAGAATGCCTTTAGGTAAGATGCACACTCTGACTCCCAACATAGGCCACTACTTCCTCCTGCTCTTTCTAATCAATTTACAGTTCACCCCTACACCCTGTACCGGTTTGGTGCCTGAAGTTGTTTGCTCACAAATCTTTTAAACACCAGCATTGCATCATGCTTACTATTGAGAAATGATCACCACTGGCTAAGATAAGAAGAGAAGTTTTATGTAATACACAAATAAGTTCTCCTAGGACTTGCAGCTCTGTGAGACTTACCAGGCCTCCGTGTGGTGTGGATGCTCTTAATGACAGTTGTAGTTTCTCAGGAAATAATATGGGAAAGATTTGGTAGGGTGTAACGGGTTGGTAGAGAATAAAGGGGAGAACGAGAGGAGTCAGTTCAATAAAGTGAATCAACTGGCCTTTTGCTGACCTGTTGGTTCTAAAAGTAAACATTTTTGTTAAAAATCACATTTAATTCAAATCACTTACCTTGTGAGTATCAAAGCAAATCACTGTATTCTGGAATTAGAGTTTGAGAGAAAAACAACTTCATCATGACCTTTTTAAGACTTGTCCCCAGCATGTGAGGCAAGATGTATCTGTTTAAATATAAATCATTCTTTAGCTGTTTTATATATATTGAAAACTCAACTCTGATTTATCTTAGTGCTATTTTCCTTTGCCAGAATTTAAGCAACTTATCCCCTGCCCCCCTTCATGTTTTTTTTTTTTTTTCTGGATTTGAACACTTGAATTTCCTTTTTCCTTTTCTATTATGTCCTACAAGTGGACCTATTAGAAATCATTAAATTATCCAACACAAGAATGTCCTACATTCTTTATCTAGGACAATAGAATCAGTCCAAATTATACTATATATCTCTTCAATTACCTTTCCTTCAGATGGTCCTTAGAGCGACAGATTCAAGGAGCGGTGTTATCTCCTAGACGCTCTGCGCCCATCTAGTATTTAAGCCACATTACTAATGCCTTTATGGTCAGAGGCGATATGAGTCAGAGTTCAAACTGAACTGAATAACTGGTTTCAGACCAGGAACTCCACCTTCTAAAGCATTACACAGAAATAGGCTTACAGACTGATGACTGAGAAAATAACTTCATCTTCTTGGTTGGGATTAGAGTAGTGTCTTTATCACACACAACCCACAATTAAAAATTGTGACCACCAGGAGACTTTCTTGGAGGCAGCTAGTGTGAGGCTGGGGAGCGCTGAGCCCCACGTTATGCCCTGCGCTGCCCAGACTAGTGAACGATACAGTTAAGAGCCTAAAGGTGACCCCAAGAAACCAAAGAGCAAGGTGTCTGCTGATGCCGTCTTAGCACAGACGTCCAGAGAAGAACACAAGAAGAAAAACCCAGAGATCCCTGGCAATTCTGAAGAATTTTCAAAGTGCTCTGAGAGGTGAAAAAAATGTCTTGGAAAGAGAAGTCTAAAATTGATGAAATGGCAAAGGCAGGTAAAGGCTGCTGTGTCTGGGAAGTGAAAAGTTCATGGACCAGTGAAGGGAGCCAAGAAGGTGGACCCTAGTGCCCCCAGAAGGCCACTGCCTGCATTCTTCCTGTTCTGTTTGGAATTCCGCCCCAAGATCAAATCCATGAACCCTGGCATTTCTATTGGAGAAGTGGCAAAAGGCTGGATGAGATGTGGAATAACTTAAGTGACAGGGAAAAGCAGCCTTATATCATGAAGGCAGAGAAGCTGAAGTCTGAGAAGGATGTTACTGACCAAAGGAAAGTTCCATGAAAGGCAAAGTATCCCACTAAAGTTGGAAGAGGAAGGGAAGAGGAAGAAGAGGAAGATGAATAAAAAGCTGTTTAATCTGTGTCCTATGAAGACCTTAGAGTAGGGGAATGCCATAATTGACGCATCTCTTTGGGATTTTTTTGACTGGGGCTGGATTTGAACACGCTGCCTCTGGCACATGGGGCTGGTGCCCTACTCCTTTGAACCACAGGTGCCACCAGCGCATCTCTTATTTCAGTAATGTCTATTGCCCTGTTAGGTTTAATTACAAAATTTGATGACAATCATATTGTGGTCTCAAAGTGCTCTAGATATTGTCAGTGGTTTACATGAAGGCATGGGTATCTGGAGCCCCCTGAAACAGTATCAGAGTTGTTCCTATTTCCAAACATTTTTAAAATGAAAAGGCACTTTCATGTTCTCATCTTGTTGGTATGGCAAGACATTTCAGGATGTTTCTGGCATTTCTTTTTTTTAAATTTGTAAGGTGGTGTTAGCTATATGTTTATTGGCTAGAAGTCCTGAGTTACCAACTCAAATGTATGTACGTTCAACACAATGTGCATAGTCTTTATAACGCTCCCTGCTCCTTGGCCTTCAGGCCGTGGGGGAAGACGCCCTTTGGAGAGGCTGTAGCTCCAGGGGTGCGCTGTG